TTTTGCTCTTTTTAAATATTAGTCGGGTCTTACGTTTCTGTCGATATGCAGAGATTTTTATGCAGGGATTACTTCACATTTCAGTCGCACATATGTAGACTGCATATGAAGAATGTTCAACTATTTATTTATTTATACATGCATGGCATTTCTATCTTTACTTTTAATTTTTCTAACTGTCGCTTCCACGGAAGCTGCTCTCAACCTAGTATTGGGGGCAGCCTACTACCCTACCTCCCCCTTACCCCATTGCATATGAGAATAGGGTTTTGTTGTTATTGTTGTATATAAATATATATTTGATAAAATAATAATGTTTATTTATTTTTAAATATTAAGAAATGGCGGTCTTAAAACAACTAGACGTCTTATTCTGGTATTTTAAAAATAAATAAATATCTTATTTATATATATATATATATATATATTTACTTCATTATTTTTCATTATATTCTTCTTAATATTTATTTATTTTAATATCAAAGAAAAGGGCAGTCTTAATATAACTAGATGTCATATTCTGGTATTTTAAAAATAAAAAAATATCCTACTTATAAAAATCAGAAAATAAATATTGTTTATTTAAATTATTTTCTTAGGAAAAATTATTTTTTAATATTTAATTATTTTTCAAACATTAAGAAATGACAATCTTAAAGTAACTAGATTCATTTTTTGATGTTTTAAATAAATAAATATTTTATTTATGATCTATAAAAATTATTTAATATTTTTTTTCTTCCTTAGAATCATCTAATTAAATACGAAATAATAGGATCATAAATTAAATTTATATTCGAATTCTTAAAGACAATTTATAATCGGCAGGACCAATTTTGGGCGTTGTGGGGTGCTAATCTTTCCCCAAATATAATCGACCACGAATCTCTTTTTTTTATTATTAAAAAGAACGGATTTTTTGTTAAATGCAGACCAATTTATATTTTAACTGATGCTTTCTTAAAAACTCTTTTAAAAGATGATTTTTAGGTATTCGACCTACCTGACCCAAAAGGCTGCGATGGCGACTCCCAAAACATTTCAATAAAATCCATTTATCCACATTATTTTTCCCGCCAAGTAAAATTTCGTGCCCGGACGAAAACCGGTTACGACACATACATATTCATCCCATAAGATAATCTTGATTACAAGGCAGCCGTGATGATGAATGTGCACATTTGCTATACAAGCATGACATATATATATATATAATGTAAAGAATCCTGATTTCAGTATTCATGAACAACACAAAATCTAGGAGAAAAGTCAAGAATGGAAGTTTTCGTGAGCCAAACCTCGAACTGAAGGGGTCAGAAGCTCAGAGCAACAACTGCTGTTTGATTATAGGAGAGGCTAAGTTCATATCTGACGATACAGCTATGATTAAAAGATGTTCCGCCTTCCGGCCCGGGTGGAAGATATGCTATTGCTCCTCGCAGACATAGACCGCAATCGGTTCCTGATAAGTCCGGCGTACACTGTATAAGGGTGTAAAGTGTTTGAGAACTTGAAATATTCTTCTCTTTAGTCGCAAATTTTTTGGCCCCCGCGGCTTCAGTTTCCACCAGGATAGCAGTATCATTAATTATACTCAGAATATACGGGTCGCAAATTTTTTGAACTTCATTAATAATATTAAACTAAATACTGAAATAAGGATTTATACTTAAAAAAATATCATCAAACAACTCCGAATCTAACCAAAACAAAATGGAACAGGAATCAAGTGAAATAGACAGGGCATTTCTTGTTCTTCCAAGCTGGTAACATCGACCTATCGGAACCCACTGAAACATCACAATCTGCTTGCATTTTATGGTGCTTACTCTTCCATGCCGAATCCCTAAATCTTATTCCCGATGTTATTTCTAAACGAAAAAACCACAGTCCCATGTTGCCTATCATTCATAAACTCCTTCCACTCATCGGTGTTTACAGTAAGCGTTGCTGCACCAATTGTACCTTGCACGATCGTAGTTGTCCTGGGGTTTAGGGAAAATGGGGGGTACAATGCAGTCGACCCGATTCACTGATCTTTATAAAAGACCGACACCACCATGTAGTCGTAATAGATACCCATGTGCTGGTTCGGGTTCCTGGCTGTGACATTGAACGTTATTAGAGAATTGTCCAGCACTGATTGTTGAGCCAACGTGGGGACGGTGAAATCTATCGTATGGAACCTTGGACGATGAGGGTGTAAACTAAGCCATAAAATGAAGAAGAAAACGCCAACGAATAGAAAAATGAACAAGAATATGGCACATAGCACTTTGGTGGCTTTAGCGGTGAAGCTTTCGTGAACTCGATGCGCGTAGTAGCGGGCGGAGTGGTGGTGTTTGATGGGCTTGGGTTGAGGCCGGGAGTCTCGAACCGGCAACCTGACGGAATCGGACATATTTTTCGATGAATCGAGAAGGGTTTTCGAGGGAGTTTGGTGAGGAAAAGAAGTATTTGAAGCACAGGGAAAGAATTAAGGCACGTTAAAGAATTGGGAGTCTTTTTTTGCGTGGCGATGGAGAAAGAAAGGAATAAGGTCATATTGTATGGTACAAACTCAGAATAATCTTAGAAGTATGTGTAAGGGTTTCTTGCAACCTATGACCTACAGGAACAGCAAAGTATGTGTACATTTAGGAGAAAGAATATGATTTTCAGATTCGGCTGCACGAGTTGTGTCCTAACCCTTATTTCTATGTCGCCGTTCCATTTGGTCGGAGAGTTGAGGTTGACGAAAACCAGGTTGAACCGCTCCAAGAGACACTAAAGTTGAAGATGACAGCATTAAAAGCACCATCGTCATCATCTTCAACTCTTCCTCCTTTCTCCAAACTGGAATATTTGGACATTGAAGAGATTGAAGATTTAAATTCTGTATTAGAGGAGTTTCTGCACCTGATATAAAACAAATTATAATTCAGAGACCAATTTAAAATAAAAGTAATAGTTTGAAGATCTCTTGTACAATTAATTCATCTTAAATTTAAAATTAAATTCATTTTTAATAATATATTATTAAATTTATTGATAATGCATATAATTATATTCTATCACTAGATCGAAAGTGATATTATGTAGTGCAGACGTAAGTCAAATGGAATCCCACTAAATAGACCCTTTTAACTTTAGGCCAAAGAATTCAATCAAATCTTTGAATTATATTAAAGTATTTAATTAAGTTTTTATGTCATATTCTTTTTTGGATAATTCGAAATTTTATTACCCAAAAGTACAGTGAAGCTACAACCAACAACCAAATAAACCAAAAAGCCTAATTACACACCAATGATTGGTTAGACTATACCCCAAACATTACAAAGGCTAAAGTTAGTAAGATCTAGTATGTTAATAGCTTTGTCCCTAAGTCGGATACCAACAGTATCAATGATGTCTTTGAGAATTTCATCAACAGCCTGAATACGACCCCAAAATGTTCTCTGATTCTGTTTCTGCCACAAGTGATAAATGAACGCATTCCACGAGATTTTTAGAAAGGTGGTGAGTAAGGACTTCCCTTTCCAAGTTAAGCTAGCACGATTGACCATATCATCCCATGTCAAAAAATTCTGATTCATCCCGTTCAAGTTTAAGATGGATTTCCATAAACGCACAACCATGGAGCAATTAAAAAAGAGATGGTCTCTAGTTTCTTGGTATAAATTGCAATTAACACAGAGACCATCTGTGGGAACTCCCATTCTTTGTAACCGATCTTTGGTTGGTAACCTGTTCAAAATGGTCATCCAAGTGATTAAGTTATGTTTAGGTATATGCATAGGGTACCATATGAGACGATGCCAAGGTACTTTCTATCCTTGCAACCGTTGTCCCAAATTTGCTTAATCCGCAGCGAACTAGTAGAAATAAGAGGAGAAGCAGTGTGTCTTAGCTTTAAAATCCTTCTAAAACCCCAGCTGACGTTAGTTCCAGGTTTGAAATGCCAGAATTCCTTATCTTTAAGGGTATAGTTTTGAAGCCATGCAACACATAAAGAGCCATCACCCGCAAGAATTTTCTTTATAAGGCTAATAATACAAGTTTTGTTCCAAATGGAGATATTAATCAGACCAAGGCCTCCTTCAGACTTCGTACAGCAAATATTATCCCAACTTACCCGAGCCCCTGTAGCAGACTTGTCTTCTCCTTTCCAAAAAAACCGTGAGCAAAGCTGATCCACGGTTTTTAAGGTCGAGGCTGGAAGGGCAAGTTGTCTACACTAGAAATTACTAATATTGAATAAAACAGACTGTATTAGCTCAAGTCTGCCCGCATAACTGAGGTTACGGGCAGACCAGTGGTGCAAACATTTTCTAATTTTGTCAAGAAGAGGTTCACAATCCTTCGCAGTGAGTTTACGGGTTACAAGAGGGATGTCGAGATACTTAACAGGAAGAGATTTAGGTTTGAAGCCAGAAATAAGATTAATAATCTCTAGTTCCCTAGAAGAGATTCCCGCAGTGAAAAGCTCGCATTTGGAGGAATTAAGATGTAGCCCTGAAATTTGATAGAACTTTTCGAGAACGCTAACACTACAAGAAAATATACCTTTAATGAAATACAAACGATGACACACGCTAATTTATGACTTGCAAAACATGTGTGTCATAAAATAAATGTCATGTTTTTTAAAATCTGAACGATTTATGACTTACAATAATGTGTGTTATATTTAATAGTCATAATCCATAAAATTTGCAAAAACACGGAGTATACTTTTAATTGTGTGTCATCTTTAGGAGTCGTATTCTAATTTCCCCATTATTTTCATCCTTTCCCGCTTCTTCCCCCACCTAATGTTTTCCACTCCTTTCAATCTCTCCTTTTTTTTCTTGCTTTTCATCCCGATTCTCTTCTTCTTGTTAGGCCCGAGTTTGAATCCCTAGCCTCTGCTACCAAAATCAAGTGGAAAGAAGGCATGGTGAGGGTTTCTTCTCTTGTCATGTCTACTCATGTTATTTTTTCCTTTGGTTATCATGTTAAATTAGTTTTCTAAATGTCAAGGGCTTTCCAAATGGAGTTGACCATGAGAAGAAAGGAAAAAGCGACAGTTTGCTGAAGAAAGGTTTGCTATCATATTTGTCAATCAAATTTCTCCCCAGCCTGAGGACTTTAGTCACATAAAACCTGAGATTAATTTCTCTGTTGTGTAATGTAGTCGCTTCATTTTTTTTCTCAATAATTTTATTGAACTTCAGCTTAGCATCTTATAAGAATCTTAGTTATTTCATGAGTCATCTTCCTTTTGTTATGTAGAGCTAAACCTTAGCAGATAGAGTTTTCCTTTTTTAGTGCAGACAAATTAAGATTACACATGCTTTATGTATTATTATGTATTGTGATTATAAATAGTATGCATTTATATGTTTCTTTTAGTTTATTAAGCTGCATTATAACTTCTAACATGGTAGGAATTTGTTGTACTGCAAAGCTTGGGTCATTTATGACATTGTCTTGTATTTAATTTTGCCTCTTTCACTTAACCACCATCTCTATATTATACTAAATTTATTACACATGAATGCAGCTTCTTTACCTGGTTTTCTTATGCTCAGCAGAAAGATGACATGGATGAAATTCACGATGAGGTAAACTCTTTATGCATGTGCTATGTGAATGTAGGTTTTCCTTCTTTTTTTTCTCATTTTGTTAAAGAACTGGCGCCTGGCCTAAGCTTTCACTTGATAAACACTACAGGTAGCAGAGATTATCAAGGAGGATTTATGGCCCAATCTCCTCACATATTTCAATAATGTAACTTCATTTCCTTTGGATTCTTCCCCCGGTTTTGTTTTATACCATTTATGATCATCTTATACTTACTTTAATTTTTTTCATAACCTGATGCAAGATGCTGATGAAGAAGATTTTGAGGATGATGAAGAGGTACATCATCTTTTGCCTTCTTTTTTCTTTCAATTACTAAATTCATAATCTTCCTGTACCATTTGTTCTTACATGTTTTCTTTCAGGATAATGGCATGATGTAGGTTTTGTGGTCTTTATTTTAACATTTTTGGTTTATTTTTCAATAAAGATAGAGTAGATTGGTCTATTTTCATTGTAGATATGTTTGTAGGACATGCTTACTAGAGTTTAGCTTGTAGTTAAAATTTGAATTCATCAATTGAGTAATAAATTGCTAATAAAAAAATGTGAATATAGAGCTCCCTTACTAGGGCTTCTCAAATGGTTAGAAAGGATGCATCCTTTTAGTTTCAAGTATATGCTCATTTTCTTTTGCTGGAGCGGTTGTGAATGTGACATTTGTGTGAGATATACTCCTAGAGCGGTTGGAAAGTATATGCTCATTTTCTTTTGCTAGAGCGGTTGTGAAGGTGACATTTGTGTGAGACATTCCTTCTTACTTGAGGTCCCAAATTCAATCGTACATTTTGTTAGATTCGATTATGGCTTGCTGCATAGTTGAGTCAAGTTCAAACTACCCCTGGTAACTCTATAGCTTGGTTTTTTCCAAACTAATTAAACTTTATGTTCTCTCTGGACCTGGAAACATAAACCGGCTAAAAGGGTAGAGTTGATCATGTTTTACCGTAAAGAATACCCAAAACTGTTGTAATGAAACCGTCAGAACTTGTGGCTCATTTTCTTTCTTCTTATGCTTATTCCAGGTTGACAAACAAGGACTTCCCATAAGTTTATAACTAATAGGTCGTCCATGGGGTGAAGCTACAGTTCTACGTTTGGCTTCTGCAATCGAGGTATAAACAAGTTTATGTCCTTGAAAGAGAATGTTTTGAACTTTATATTCGAGGTTGCATAACTAATTATAAAGAAAACGTCTCATGTTTCCAGGAACTTTGTATCTCTTCTTCATTCTATGACATCTCAAAGGCCAAGTAAGAGCCTTCATGGACTATGTTATATTGCAGATCCTTATGTTGTCTCTTCAGAATCACCAATAACGATGCATCTCTAAATATCGTTATCTTATTTGATGTATCTTATGTGGAAAACTTTATTATGCCGTGATATTTTGTATCGACATATGATTACAATATTTTTGATAACTTAATGTTAATATATTGTACGCAAATGGATTGCTTATATATAATAGTATATATATATTTAGTATTATGAGGCATTAAATGTGATTTAGTTTTATTATTTGTCAATCTATAATATATATATATATATATATATATATATATTACGACATACAATCATGACACACGAATGTGTGTCATATTTTCTAATAACGTGTGCTTCAATGAAACGTAATGTAAGTCATAAATTCGTGTCATAAATTTATGACACACAAATGTGTGTCGTCTTCATATATGACGGGGGCTTCAATGACGCGCAATGAGCGTCATAAATGCGCGTCATAAATGCGTGTCATAAATGTGCGTCATAAATTTATGACGCACAATTGCGCGTCATCTTAAATTCATGTCGGTGGCTTCAACGACAGGCAAATGTGTGTCATCCGCAAATTCTTTGTTACCTTTGCTGAAAATAAGTAGATCGTCTACAAAAGAAAGATGAGTAAGCCCGATCTTCTTGTATTTGGGGTGATAAACAAAGACACCTTTAGAAGCAGTCAAATTAAGCATTTTAGAAAGAATATTCATTGCAAGGACGAGTAAATAAAGGGAAAGGGGATCCCCTTGTCTTAAACCTCTATCCCCTTTGAAGTAGTCGGTTAAGGTACCATTGAAGGAGATAGAGTATCGAGCTTTAGAAAAACAAACTTCAATCCAAGTAATAGATCTTTGAGGAAATTACAGGGATGTAAGAATTGAAGAAATGAAGTTCCAGTGCAAGGAATCAAAAGCCTTATAGAGGTCGATCTTCATGGCGCAACGAGGAGAAATGTTTTTTCGGTCATACCCTTTAACCATCTCCTGAGCAATAAGAGAATTTTCAATGATATTCCTTCCATGAATAAAAGCTGTTTGGTTTAAGGAAATTATCTGTGGAAGGAAAACAGTCATCCTGTTGACGAGAATCTTAGTGATAATTTTATAAATAACGAAACAACAGGAAATCGGCCGAAAATCTTTGACCGTGCAGGGGTTAATGACTTTAGGGATAAGAGAAATAATAGTGGAGTTAAAAACAAGGTGAATGTGAGAATTACAGAAGAAGTATTTGACAACATCAGTGATATCTTCACCCACTATAGACCATGAAAATTTGAAGAAGAAAGGGGTGAAACCGTCTGGTCCAAGAGCATTGTCATTGCCTTGGCAAAAGACGAAATTTTTGATTTCATCAACAATAACTTCCTTAATAAGCAAAGAAGCAACTTCAATAGGCAATGAATAGTTAAGGAGATCTTGAAGAATGGAAGGATTTGAGTCCTTGACCATAGAATCAAATGTACCTAGAAGATTGAAGAAAAAAGAAACTTCATTGGACATGGCATCAAAAGATTCAAGTCTATTTCCTCAGTCATCGACAAGGACTCTGATGGTTTCCTTTTTGTTCTTCGAGGCCATAATTGAATGGAAAATTTTTGTGTTTTTATCACCATCTTTTATTCATTTAACTTTAGCCTTCTGTTTAAAGATAAGAGATTCGACTTCTTCAAGGGTGTTCAACTGCTCGTGGATTTCAAGTTCCTTCTGAATAGGTTCCTCGCCTTTAAGAGTAAGAAGTTATTGTTTTTCCAGTACCAATCTCTTAGCTTTAACTCTATCAGAAAGGTTGTTATAATGGTCTTTATTAAACCTTCTCAGACAATCTTTGAGTCTTCTAAGCTTTGTGAACAAAACTATCATAGGATTGCCTTGAACTTCTTGTTGCCATGAACTCCTTACTACATTCAGGAAATTAGGATTGACAACCCAAAAATTAAAGAATTTGAATGGCTTAGGCCTGGAAGCAGGAAGGTCTTTTGAAATCCAAAGCATGACCATGTTGTGGTCAGAGATTCCAGGGGCAAGAAATTCCACAAAAGATTGTTGAAATATGGGAGCCCAACTTGGGTTAATCATTACCCTATCAAGCTTCCTAGCCAGAAATAACTCTTGTTGCTTATTACTCTAAGTAATTTTTGGTCCAAAGAAAGGGTGATCCTAGAGACCAAGCTCTTGAGTAAATTTTGGAAATCTTTCATATCCGGAGAGGAATAATGGCCTATTAGATCATGATCTGAACTTTCATGGGAATGAAGGAAAATATTGAAATCTCCACCTAAGACCCATGGGGATTGATTAACAATGGAATTGACTTCCTTAAGTTTAAGCCAAAGCTGTCTTCGAATTACTCCATCATTACTTCTATAGATGGCCGAGATGAACATCGGATTACCTTGAAAAGTTCCTTGAGCAGTAATACATTGGTCAGAAACTTGAATAATGGATAAATCTATTCTCTTCCTCCAAAGCATCCAGATTCTGCCATTAATGGCATGATCATAATTATAACAAACATTCTAATTTAGGTATTTAGTGTTGGATAAAGCCTGAGACTTATCTACTTTAACTATTGTCTCCAAAAGGCAGAGGACATCTACATTATTATTCATGGCTCTAAGAACCACTTTATTTTGTTTTAGAGGACTATTTAGACCTCTAATGTTCCAAAAACTTATTATCATTTGGAAAAGGATCCCAAGGAACACCCTTGGTTTTCAACAGGATGACTTTTAGCTTTGTCAAGCTGGTCTTTCTTTTTGGATTTAAGCTCATGAACCAAACCAGCAACTCCCAAAGATGATGCCCTTGGCTTCCTTGATAAATTTTCTAGATTATGATCTTCAACAGTGTTTAGAATTTCAAATCGATTTTTTGAACCTGAAAGACAACTCTTAGTATTGTCTTTACTTGGTCTTCCTCTTCCCCTTTTAGAATTTACTGGCTGAGAAGTGATGTCAGAAACAGAATCTTCAGTAGGCTTACTAAAAGATTGGGTGTTAATAGTAGTATCTTCAGCAACAGTTAAATAAAGTTTGAAGAGTCATGAACCACTTCCATAACAGGTTGAGAACTTTGCAAGTCCGTGTCAATAGCAGGAGCATTCTGTTCAAGCTTATTAGAAGATTCAGTAACTAACTTCTCCTACTGGATAGAACCATTTACTTCAATATTACCATTATTTTCTGGTTCCTGCAAGATTTTAACTCCTCCCATAGTAGTAACAGCAAAATTAGGGATAATGTCTCCCTTCTTCTTCCAGACTTGGGAAATAGCAGGTTGAGCATAGGATTTGTTAGGACAACCTTTGTCATTATGCCCAAATACTTTGCACTTCTTGCACGAAGGCGGTAACCATGGGACCTCAACATAGATAGAGGTTTGTTTTCCATCTTTAAGAGCAACTTCAATATACTTAGGAATAGAATCATTTACCCAAATTTCAATACAGACTTTTGCGAACTCTAGCCTAGTTTTTGAAGCATTTATGTTGTCCATTGAGAGAGGATTTCCAATGGCACTAGCTATGTAGTTAAGGCCAACTCGAGAGAAGAGTTCTAATAGGACGTTAAACAGATGAACCCAAACAGGAATCTTAGTTATAAGTCAAAACTAAGTGTTTTCAAGCATGGTTCCCACTTTCTAAGTATAAGAGTTTTGTTATGTACGTGCCATGGCCCATTGTCGAGCACTCAATCCCTAGAATTTTCAGTATCAAACGTGAAAATAAAAAGGTTATTTCCAGCAGTACTAACCTGGACTCGTGAACCCCCGTTGCTTTACTCCATAAGCTGTCGATGATTCGTTGTAGAGACGCAAAGCTTGGTTTAACTCCAAGGAATTGACCCAC